AGGCTAAGGACTCCAATAACAATAAATATCAATGAGCCTGAGATAAATAAATATATTTTTATATACACTGAAGTTGGAGTCGCATATCAGGCACCACACCATCTATGGTTCCCATGGACCCTCCCAATAAGCTGGAATGGCTCCCCATGCATCTCGTTCTCCCGCCATGGAATTGCAAATCTCATCAATCGCCCTCTTAGCATCATCCCTCCGGAACTCATCGGGCCATCCGTACTGGCGAAGTACCTGTCTAAAGTACTGAGCATCCAACTCCGTGGTGCCATCTTCTGTCTGCGCGCGAACTTCTTCCTCGGTGATCTCGGTTTCCCGCTCTTTGAAGGTCCATGCGTCGATCGTGACTCTTCCAACGCAAGGAATAAGTTTTAGACTCCGGTATTCCTCTTTCAGCTGGTTCAGAAAGGTCTTAATATCCATTTGACTCAGTTGAGTGGCCCGGATTATATCCTCGGAGAGTTCGCCGTGTATCACATCTAAAAAGAATTGACGGCCACCACTTTCACGACCCGACGCAATACAAAGAATGTCAACTAGTTCAGTCTCTTCTCCATCATGAGAGTAGAATTCTAAGCCCTCGCCCGCCTCTCGGTCTCGGAAGTACCCCGTTTGAAAGTCCTCGCGAGAAAAGAGGGAATAGTCTATCAATTTTGATGCCTGGTGTATATGCTCCTCACTATTAAAATAAGGAAGACAGCGAAGGACCTCAATGGCGTAGTCAGACTTGATATCACCAACACTCTCAGGTGTTATGTTTGGCCATCCTCCTGATGGTGGCATCTTGAGGTCTGCTATATCATAGTGCAACGTAGTAAGAAAGATATAAAAATCAAGGAGAATTTCTGCGAGCTCGTCGGGGGTATAAGGTGGCTCAGAAGGCTCTGACTCTGATTCTGATTCTGACTCTGGATCTGTTTCGGGCTCTGTATCCGACTCTGGCTCCGGCCCTCGCTCTAGCTCTGCCTGCGGTTCGGGTGAAGGTGTTCGCGATAAGGACAGGCGAGAGGCGGGCATCGTGGTAGATTCAACCTACTTTGATGTCGATATGTAGAGAACCCGAGAGTCAGCTTGTTATTTGGATGAAAACGGAGCGGAAGAACCATTAACTATTTAGTTAGTTGGGATTTTATCGGGATGCATTGGAACTAGGATTTGAATCTTTTTACGCCCTTATGAGCACTAAGCAAGTTATAACGCATATAATTATCGGCCGGGATTACTGTCAGTCTTCTACTCACCCACGCTGGCAATCACCATGTGCTCAGCCATCCAACCCACAATTTTGTTAGAAAATTGGAAATCAGAAATTTGGGATGGTGGCATATATGTAGTAGGGTGCTGTGAGATATCAATCTCCTATATATGGGGAGTCCCTGGCTTCTGAAGCGCAGCCAGGTTCCATATTGACTTTTGGGGGCTGACTTGCTATACTGTTCAACACCAAGGATTGAGAAGATAATAGTCATTCTCCTCCATACAACTATAAGGCGCCACATGTTAAAACTCCGAATAGGCCCTAAACAACACGAGTATGGTAGAGTAGCTATCTAACGAATGTACACCGTTTGGCTTTAAATATGCTCAGTTATTGGGTATAACAGGCATCAAGGATACCTCCCACCACAGCCTCCAAAGGTCTACCTTGGCTGCTACGGGTTCCAAATAGGAATATACATAGGCCATATATGGTGGCTACGTATATATACGAAGGAAGGTGGTGTAGAACGGAGATAGCAGCACCATGCATTATCGTTCAAGTTTCGGGCTCGTCTAGACGAAACAAAACTGTCAAATCGCTCCTGTCTGAACCCTGCTAGACCACGCACCAATCCCCGCGGAAACTGGAGTTAGGGCTGTGATTAGGACCAGCGCAGTTTTGTTTAGCTCTATGGACGACAGATGATCGGCACTGAACATCATTCGAGGCTTCGGCTTTGTAGACCAGTCCACGGCGTATCAAGTTTAGGAAATCTTGTCTGCATGGACATCATCGGAATTGACCCTCTCAATCATACGACAGGTACATTCGCAGTCAAGATGCGAAACTCGGCAATTCGTTCAAGGCCGGTTTCTCCAGAGAACATTCCAGCCGTTACAGGGAAGCTTGTAGGTTGGGCATTGCTGTTATTGTTGTTATTGTTGTTGCTGTATGTTCTCCGTACGTGAGATTGTGAGCAGGGATCCGCAAGCATGCAGGCGCACCGGGGAAAGTAACTCCTAGCTGAAAATCCCGCTTGTCTGCTCTTCGCCAATAAAATATCACTCATATATTGGGAATTTGAACTATTTAGTACCTACTAACCACTTCAAACGACGCCGTTGAACCATGCGGCATCTACGATATATCCAACAGCAAGTCTCTTCGGTGCACCGCGGAAATCAAATCAGCAGATACAACACAATTGGGCTCCGCTACTACGCCCTAGACTGCATATCAACCACAGCTAGCATTTAGTTCTAATACCAAGCCCAGGTTTGCGGGGAGGGAGCATATATACGCCCCTAGAGATGCAAAGGCGGCACGGACGCAGAAGTTGTTCACACCCGACCAAGGGTCTGCAGACGCTGGACAAGAATATTACCAGGCTAGAGCCATAAAACAGGCCAGCAAACCGGGAGATAGGAGAGTTTTCATGCCAATTGACCATTCACGGGGCACGACGTGCGATCCAGGTGCCTCACCTTGCTGCTAGTCATGGCTAGGAGAGCGGTCTTCCTGCGGTATTGCACGACTTTGACAATATCAGAACAAGAGAATCTCTGGAAAGAATCTGGGGTATATCTAGTTATAAACTACGGAGTACTCCATACTTCGTGGCTAACTAGTTATTTCCACTTGCATGTCCATGGAGAGATCTCGTCCAACTCATATTTTGTAGTTTCTGCATACCCTGGCGTCAACATTACCCCGAGTATGGATGCACCGGGATAGAAAGGCAATATTTCCCTACAGGGATGACTTTATGCTGTCTATTATATCCAAGGATTCATGGGTATTAATGGCGATCGCATTAAGGAGTTCCGACGCCATGTCAGCAGGAGATCGTCCGTCTGGATTTTCGGGCTTAGCTTATGTCGACTTCACTTCTAATATTAATATATTCTTGCTTGGATATATCTTCCCCTAGATGATAATAGGAGCCGCTTGCCTATATAGCCATCTGTTAGTACGCTACGGGTTGGTCCGTATAGTTAGGCGGCAATGCATTTAGGCGCGTTTAGCAGGACCTGGCGGCAAACCTCTCTCTACGCTTTGTTACCAACCATAAAGATATCATCTACCAATGATCCCAAGGACATCTCGCTTAATGTGCGGATATCTCGGGAAGAGTGATCAAGGCGTCTGTTATTCCGTACATTACGGACTATGTATGCACCATTATATCCTAGCAATAGGATAAGATGCAGCCTGTCCAAGGATATTTATATCCATGCATTTGAACAGTATTGGCCGGGGAAACTTGCTTGCCTCACTTCGCAACCCCTGGTGGATATTTCAACTCCGCGTTTTGTTGCTTTTTTCCCCAGAGACATCCGATGATGCTTCCAGTCTCAATTGTAAGAAACAAAAATGTGACAAAATATGCGATCTGAGCTACGAAATTGGCTATATATACCTCGAGCACCAAGTGCTCATTACAAGAAATTTCTAACATTTTCTCAGCCAGTCCAATAAATTCATATTGATTCATCTACTATACCAACCCTCTATCTTTAAGAATACTATCTTAAACCTCCCTATCACAAGCAATATGCAGTTCTTCGCTACTTTGCTCCTCTTGGTGGTGCCATGTGTGATTGCCGCTCCCGGTGATGTTCTTGTGAGTTATCTTCGAGCTGTTTTGATACAATCCGCCTAACCAAAGGTAGGGAATCCGTCACCCGGATGCCCAATGTGGAGTTGCAGCCGATCTGGAGCTGATTGAAGGCGAATGTACTACTGCCAGCGGTGCCCAGTATGTTCTACCCTATCAACATTATTTGGTTTACCATGTTGAGACGGCAGCTAACAAAATGATAGATCTATTAACTTTTCCGTAACCACCGTCTGCGATCTACATGTGTATGTACCCCTTGCCCCAGCTCGAGACGACATAACATAAGCTAGGTTAAGAAACTAACACTATATAGGTCGACCGATTGCTCGGATGAGCCAGACCACAGAACTCTGGAACAAGGCTGCCGGACCTTTATGCCAGGAGATGAGAAATACGCTGCCCTCAAGTGTGCTGCCCAGTAGGGACGCAATGTTAGGGATGGGTGTCTCCTTCAGACGTTCTATATCAATCAACCATAAAGCCCACTACTTTTCTGATTTAAGTGACCCCTACAAGATTTCCCTCAGCCCCTCCGATTTCCGTGGTATATATGTTCAGACTCTGGGTAAATAGTCCAAGGAATGTGATCGTAGTTAAATTCACAGTTATCAATGTGATTCATATATCCAGACCTTTGAAATGTAAAATTTTAGGAAAGTAACTTTGGAAGCTACTTCGCCAACAGAGCAACGTTTGATGTTGAATATAGTTATGTATGCAGGGGTAAACATCTATACATCGTTTATCTTCAATAGAGATCAATAACTAACATTTTAGCCATTGTCACAGGTAGCCAATATTACAAATTTTGACATTGTATGCTCAAATGAGTCCCAAGAATATAATATTTCAACGAAGAATGACGTTTTCGCCTTCTTGTATCCTCGTTATTCCGGATTTCGGATTTCAACTGATTGTCTGTATAGAGCCAGAGCTGCTGGGGTGAGTCTTTTTCTCATGGTATATGCATATATACCAAACGTGCCTTTAGTGCAAGACTCTTGCTCCTTTCCACTGAGGATGGTGAAGGACACGAGGGGAATCAATTGGGATCAGGCTCTTAAACCATTGCTGGAGACGGAAGAAGATTTTCCCTAGAATTCGAGTTGTCTGGAATTGTGTCTATTATGTATCACTGGAGAGAGGATTAAAATCCTCCAGCAATTCGCCCGCATGGCTTAATGGTAAAGCGCATCACTAGTAAGCGACATTCGAAAATCGATTCAACGCGTGCTGAAATGATGAGATCCTCGGTTCGATTCCGAGTGTGGGCAGATTTCATTTTTGTTCTTTTTTGTTTTTGCCGGCAGAAGTTGGACCGAGGCTCATGTCACGTGCACTACTGTCTCGTGACCCGTGTTTTATTCATCTGGGCAGCTAGGACTTCCATCTCATTCATCTCTTCTTCCTTCATGATGTCGTGGGCACCATGATACACCATCAAGAGCAGCATAAATTGGTTTTAGGGCCGTCCACTGACCTGCACTCACCTCTACCACCAAGACATTGCTCTACAAACCCCCCATTCAGGAGCTAGGACTTCTCCTGGCTACTATAACGAAGCAATCAAATTTTCAAAGAAACTTTCAGCATCCAGCCCGCATGGCTTAATGGTAAAGCGCATCACTAGTAATGATGAGATTCTCAGTTCGATTCTGAGTGTGGGCAGATGATCTTTCTTTTTTTCTTCCTTTTTTATATCCTCTTTACTTCGGAAATGTGTGGTGGATCCCGGTCCCTACTTCCGAAACAGTACCCGCAAAACCTCACCGATAGCAGGAGAGTATCTATATGTCCTAGTAGCATGCCCGAATCGACCCCTACACCGGAAAGGACGTGGGTTTTGAGGTGGCCTAAGTCATTTTCCTCTCCTCTTGCTGTCTACGTTGTCACTATCTCAAGATTGGTCACCTATGGAAGCTTCTTTATGACAAGCAGAAAGTCCAAGCCCCAGCCCAGGCATCAAAATCATATCTGTTACCATATATTTGCTCTGCTCTGCTCCCCGGGCTGAATCACCAGGCCCTGCTAGCATGGCTAGATTGGTGTAGGTTTATGCCTTGCATATACTCTATGCAAGCTCTTGAAAGGCTAGGCTAACTGGATGGGATGGCCGTGTTTCTATGAGACGGCTTTTGAGGTCATCGGAATCATATCCTGCATCAAAAGGAGGCTGGCTGGCCTTCGGTAATGGAGGAAGAAACCCCGTGAGGTGAAGGAGTAGAGCGGGAACTTACATGACTTATACCCTACGCAGTCTATCGAATCTGCACTTATATTATCCCCCATATAGGGATCAGTCTAGCTATCTGCTCTCTAAAGCTAGGTATGTTTCTCCAGCCTATGTTTGGCTAGATGATGGCAAAGGATAGCGGGCTGAATCTACTGGGACTGGGTGGGTATTTCACCTTTGTAAGTCCTTAGTTAGAACCCACCTGTCGAGCGTCTGTTATGGGAACTGCTCAGAAAGTGACGGAGCAGCCTGTATCCGAAGTAGTGCTGTGCAAATTTGAACATTCCCAAGCTAGCCATAATTTTCTTGAAAATGAAGCTAGGTAAAGCTATATCCAGCCGATGTACCTAGTAGCAGCTGCTAAACTCAAGGGAAGATGGATATTTGGTCAAATCCGACTTCGATATCACTGAGCATACGGTTGGACCCCTCAAACGACTATAGATGTTGGGAAAGGAGCCTTTTGTAACTTAGCATAAAGGGGGGTTATTAAGGGCAAAGTCAATCATTAGTGTTAAATACCCCTTCCAGACGGGTTATCGTCATAGATAATTAACTAGTTTGGGTTTGGTTGGTTATTTACGTAAAAAACGAACGGGGGGGAATATTCAAGTCCTTAAAGAAGGGGTAAATTAGGCCTCCATCCACCCCCCATCCGCCCATCAATTCGATATACAGCATTTCTTCCTACAAAATGAATCTACTAGAGCTGCCGTCAGAACTCCTCCTATATGTGCTAGAGTATGTAGGAGCATCTTTCTTTCGCGATGACTTGGATCGTTTAACGATCTGCAAACGATGGTACCACCTTGCACACGTCGTGTTTGAGACCGATATCAAGCTGCCAACTAGAGCCATGACGAGGCTTGTGACCTACCCAGCTCTATCTACGAAGCTGCAGCTGTTTAAACACAGTCTAAAAACACTCTCAATCGAACTTAGCGGGTTTAACGACTGGGAATGCATCTCCGCCTCCACCTTAGAAGACGGCGACGATCGCCTCTACCTTGACCGATGGACGCGTGAATTGAACAAGAATCTCTTGAAGCTCGCAGCTCATATTCGTGGGAATCGGAACCTTCGCACTCTTCGATTTACTGCGTGGAGTGAATACAATGCTGACGTTCCAATTCTTGTACATCGAGACTACCTCCACGAGGACACTATATCCAGCTTCCTCTCGCTGGATAACTTGGCTGTCTTGGAATTAGACACCTGTGGCAGCTCCTTTATTCCAAGCGGAGAGCGCCAGTCCCAATCCAGATATCAAAGCCATATCTGTCCTCATATAGCCGCTCTTCTCCCCCGGCTACACCGTCTCCATCTGCGCATGCGTGAAATATGTCCGCTTGCGCTACAGCCAGGTGACAAGGATGTTCCATATCTGAAAACGGTCATCGTTAATCTTAGTCTATCAAACGAGCCGTCTGGAAAGAAGTCGGTCCATCATAGTATGAAGTGTGATGTCGGTCTGTCTCGACAGAACCTGGTAGTACTCATGGAGCGTGAGGTAGTTTCACTAGCTGCACGGATGACTTCTCCTGCAATAGTGAGGATCATAACAGACATTTCTGCTGGCCCTATTGACTCGGGCGTGTATCTGCAATCTCTCGACGTCTTGACTGGAGCGCTAAGGCCACTGAAGCCAGCTATGGGTGTGGCCTGGGATGATTACGGTGAAATAGACAAACATATGCGGCTGGATTCAGATCCTTTTGATGACCCGTCATCGGATGCTGATAACTGATACTACCCTACGTTAAAGTCACCTAGTACGATTATAAACTAGAAGCAATGGAGGATATTTATCCAATAGTCGCCAAAGAAATTTCACTCTGCGTACGTTCTATAGGCCGATCAGAGCGCGGTGAGGTTTAGAATTAGGTAACAACCCTCACTGAACCGCTGTTTTTATGGCCTATGCAAAGGAGCTGTTGCTGCCTTACTATATATAGGTGTACCAAAATGCTCTATGGAGTATCGTCAGTGGACTTCTCCTTCATGCAAGAGGCTGGAGCCTTTGGTCGCGAATAGTTCTCCTAACCATCAGGCACTCTTATCGGTTTGGTTATATGTTATACAAAGTACACCGATTCGCGACCAAGGGCTTGTCAAACGAAGAGCAACAATCTGAGAAAACTGTAACTTTACAGGCTGCAAGCGTATATAAAACTCCCTGCTCCCAAGTACCCTCACTTGATCATGTATAGAATTGCGAATCGGCCAATCATCACAGATAACAAAGCCCTGGTTGAGCTCCCCTATGGCTAGTCGGTGTGGCATTCAATTGTGAGATCTCCTCCGGGGTCACGTCCAGTCGTTGAAAGATATGCTCCCACGATATATTCCAATATTCAACTAGGCTATGTGCATCGAGGGTATATACCCACCGCCCATCCGTTTTATATGGACGATGCCGCGCACCGCAAGGCAGATCCGTTCACCGGTACCATGGCGTCCATGTTTCTTTTGGCCCTAACCTAGGCAAATTGTAGCATAAATAGAGGCCCTGAGCCCTGTCCTGGAAATGCCGCCCCTTTTGATATTAGCAAGGAAGAGTTTATCGCCATGGAGTTGGAAGGCGTGGAGTTACCGAACGCCAGCAATATAAGACTGGGTGCATATATGGCCTGGGTCAATGTCTGGCTCTCGACTCCTTATGATGGCATAATTGACGATACGGGCCCTATCATGTCCATTCCCAAGATGGCCAGTTTCTTCCGGGATGAAAACCTCACCCACCTCCTCAGCACCAATAAGTTGAAGCACATCATCACATCCTTCCGCTATAGAGTCCATGCAAAAGAGGTCCTGCTTGGGGGCACCGTTCCTCCGTCCTGCGATGAAACGAACATCCTGACACACCGTTATGATCCCAGGGTCAACTGTGGCTGCAGTGGATTATACCCAGTTCCTCCTGGTGCCACTGCAGAGTCAGTGCTGCAGCAGACGAACTGTCTGGCGGTTAGAAAGATGGTTGACATGGCCGAACTGCTCAATGAAAAGGAAGAGGAATGGAATCCACAGGATCTGTTTACCGCAAATCGTCTTCAAGATGCAGTGGCAGAATACATCCTTTCAAATTCAGATGAACAAGGGGCCCCTATAACCTGTCTCGGCTTCATGCCTTGCCTATCAGATATAAAAGCACCCGACCGGCGACCCAACCCCGAGTGCGACACGGATCCCTCTATTTTTCATCAACTATATCCCACCATTGAGCGAGTTAAGATTCTCACCGACGCAAAGTATTTTTTCGCCATCGCTTGTGGAGGAGGGTTCTGTGATGAAGGGCTCGCAAAAGCTGTATCGGAGGCGGCTAATAATATCCTCATTGGAGATTACTGCGAGGCAGCGGACGGAGAAACCCTATTCCTGCTACAAGAAGTTGGGGCAGCGGCCACAGCGTTCTTGAAGCTTTGCAACCTAGCTGGAGTAGTGACTGACTGGCAGTTCAACAACAATGTAGCAGCAATACTCCAATTCTGCGTCTTGGGGTATTTCCGCGACCACTCCCGGACTCGGCGGCCTGGAGGAGTATACGGCAGCCGTATGACGGAAATTCTTACCCACCGCTATATCGACCTCGCCATCTATGTGGGTGTCATGAATGCATCGATCAGGCTTAGGGAGAATATCACCCAGGAGCAGTTCCACTTACTAGCGGAAGCATGCTGCTATATCAATGACCTGACTGATTTCCGCAGTGATACGATGCGAAAGTTGCGAGAGAATGTCATTCTGCGTGGCATTCGTGGAAACCTCTGTACATACCTGGATGGTCTGATATCATCCTGTCTGAAGCTTGCGACCAAGGCTATCAAGTCGAGCCCTGTGAGCGCCCTCGTGGTTATGGGTCTAGCTAATTGGATGCTCATGTCATCTCAGCATAAGGTGTATGAGCTGATCCACGGTGTCAGCGAACGGGATGGTTCTGCTGCTAAGCCGTGTGATTATGTCTCGGAGTCGGATGGTCACTATGGAGAGCTCCTGAAAGTGCTCGCTGCATATGGTACGCTTGGGAAGAACGGCCCGGATGTG